TATGAGGTGGATTGATTCAGTGACTGGGGTAATTGGGATGGGTGTGTCAGAGACAGTGAGGTTGGCGCAGGATAGAGCAGGGTTTAGGGCTGTTGTACATTGGGTCGCTATCAGTCTCTAGTGACTCGACGGCACATAACAACAAGAACAGTCTCAATTACAAGTTATATTTTGACTCTGGGAAATCATAAAATGAGAGAATGAAGCTATGCTGTCCTATACATTCTTTTTCTATCTAGAATTTTAATTTTTTTATTTGTTTGTTTTGTTCTTATTTGCTCCTTTTAAGGGAAAGGAAGAGCATGTTGCTGTTGTTTTTAAGTGCTGTCAGATTGGCTCGAGATCATTGCAGCTCTGTGCACAGGAGAGCGAAACCTGCTGATGCTGGGCCATCCTCCCGATCTCTGTCCGGTCCTTGCAGTCCATGTGTCGGTCATCTTGTTGAGGCCCTTCCTCTTCCTCTACTCATCCTCTGCATTTCTAAGAATGATGTCTTTCTAAGAACTAGCCCACCCTGAGAATGTGTTCAAAGTCCGTGAGATGATATCTCACCATCCTTGCTTTTAAGGAGCACTCTGGTCGCACTTCCTCCAGGACAGATTTGCTTGCGCTTTTTTTTGTTGTTGTTGTTTTATATTTTGGGGTTTTTTTTAGTTGTTGTTGGTTTTTAAAAATTTTTTTTTAAAGATCATTCAGTTTATTACAAATATTTAGTATTGGCCTCCCACATTTCCCCCCTTTCGTTTTTTTCATAATTATGTTATCATCTAGACGGGCATAGATTTGGTTGTTCCTTTGGCAGTGGGTGGTATACTCAGTACTCTTTGCCAACACTGCATCCCGATTTTGCATTTGGAAATATTGGAAATGGATCATTTAGCCATTTTGAGATAAAGCCAGATCTAGGATCTGAGGTCTGTGTTTTCAGTAAGTTACTGGGTATCTATTTTTTAGTTAGACTGTGAGCCTCAGAGCAAACTAATGCTTACAAATACTTTAGAAACTCTATTCAAGCATGCATATACTCTTGTTGTGGACTTCTCTAGGTTATTCTTTGTTGTTGTTGTTATGTGCCGTCGAGTTGTTTGCGACTCATAGCGACCCTATGTACAACAGCCCTAAACCCTGCTCTATCCTGTGCCAATCGCATTGCCTCTGACACACCCATCCTGATTACCCCAATCACTGAATCAATCCACCTCATAGAGGGTCTTCCCCTCCTGCGCTGTCCCTCTACTCTACCCAGCATGATGTCCCTCTCCAAAGACCTGTCTCTCCTTGCAACATGTCCAAAGTATGTCAGACGAAGCTCCAGAATCTTTGCCTCCAAGGAGTAGCCTGGTTTAACCCTCCCTAGGATGAATCTGTTTGTTTTCTTGCAGTCCATGGTACATTCAATACTCTTCTCCAGCACCACAGCTCAAAGGCATCGATTCTCCTTCTATCTTCCCTAGTCATTGTCCAACTCTCTGATGTATAACAAGTGATTGCAAAGACCATAACCTGTATCAGGTGCACCTTCGTCTCCAAGGAGACACTGTTGCTCTTGAGTACTTTAGAGAGGTTCCTAACAGAAGACTTTCCCATCGCAATACGTTTTTTTATTTCCTGGCTGCTGGTGCCAAGAGCGTTGACTGTGGAGCCGAGCAAACTGAAGCTGTGAACAATCTCAATCTCTTCGCCATCCATCCTGATGCTGCCAATTGGTCCAGTGGTGAGAATCTTTGTCTTCTTGACATTGAGCCTCAGTCCATACTGAAGGCTGCAGTCCTTGACCCTCTGCAGTAAGTGCATGAGGTCCTCCTCAGTTTCACCAAGCAAGGTTGTGTCATCTGCATAATGCAGATTGTTGATAGATCTTCCACCAATCCTAACACCACGCGTCTCCTCATAGAGCCCAGCCTCTCGGATAATCTACTCTGCATACAGGTTGAAAAGGTATGGAGATAGGACACATCCCTGGCACACACCCTTCCCAATTTTGAACCATTCAATGTTGCCCTGCTCTGTTCTGACGACTGCCTCTTGGTCCAAGTATAGGTTTCGCATTAGCACGATTAAATTCTAGGAAAAAATTTTAATGCTGACTGAATGGTTTTTGCTAATGTACTACTTGGCTACTGTGGCAAGAATTAATATGAGTGTAGAGAGTTTTGAGAGGTAAATAAATGTTAAACTAGAAATAATCTTTGTGATTTCTAGAAATAAATTCTTTTAGTCTGAATCTATTAGCTTTGTTGCATTTACATGGTAATACAGTCTAGACAACTTTTAATTTCCACCTGTTTAACAGCTCTATCGGAAGGATTCTTTCAAAACAAATTCATTTTGGCTTAAAGAAAAAGATATTAATTAAACTGACTATAACCTGTTAATACAGTTAAGAAAGTACAATCACATTTTTTAAACAGCTTCTAGAGCAGGAAGTCAAGAATAAACAAATATGTCTTGAAGACAGTGCAGTCAGAGTGCTTCCGGGAGGCAAAGATGATGAAGCTTCACCTTACATACTTGGGGGATGTTGCTAGGAGAGACTGTTTCTTGGAGAGACACATAAAGCTTAGAAAGGTGGAGGGTCAGTGAAGGAGAGGAAGACCCTCAACAAAGTGGATTGACATGGTGACTGCAACAATGGCCTTGAGTGTGTCAGAGAATGTGAGGATGGCCCAGGATAGGACAGGGTTTGGATCTGTTGTTCACAGGGTCATTATAAGTTGTACTTGACTCAACAGCACTTAACAACAAAGCAGGGAAGTACTATAAACAACTTTTCCCCTTTAATTAGAGGAAAATAACTCAAGACAGACATTGAGGTTCTTCTCATAAGAAGAAGGGATTTTTCCCCCTCCTCCCTGTTTTGACTGATCCTTAGACTATGAAGAACTGTAGAAGGGGAGAGCTGTTCTGGGCAGAGTGTGCACTACGTCTCAGCCTTTTTGATCACTGTCAACCCAGTCACTTGCTGCTTTGGTAAATTAGTAAGAGATAGCAAAAGCACTTTACAATCATTGTAACTGAGTATTTCTTGTCTGCACTAGACTCAAAGTTCTGAGAAGATAAGCCTGTGCCGTAACCTCAGCACGCAGACTGTGTGTGACTGGTACAGAGTGGATACACAGTGGATGACCCGATGAGGGAGTGGCTGAATGAATTAACAGCCTCATTAAGTATATTCTGGTATAACCCCTACTTCATATACACCCCAAATCACAGGCTGAGACTGCACCTCGAGGCTGTTTGGCTCCTGAACATAAAACCACTAGACCTGTATGCCCATGGGGGTAAGTTGAAGAAAGGCATAAAAACCATCAACACTCTGAACAAGGCCTTAGAATCCCAAGATATTCCAAATGGAAACATTTTCTTCAAAAACAGTTGCCCTGGACATTTGGATCAGGTTATGGAGCCGTCTGCTACCTCTCTTCCCTCCGTTTCCCCTGAGCCTCCAACCTGTAACCGATTTCTGAATATTGACTGGTGAGAAATGACTGCTCAGGAAGCTACCTGGGCTCAGCTTCCAGGGGGACTCTGAGAGCTCCCACTCACTGTAGGAGGGGGAACCCTAGATTTTTTTGTACAGATTAGCGTCTTTCAAGAACAAAAGTCTCTTTGGGGATTTACTAATTCCCTCACCTCCCCTGGTGCTCGTGTTCCTTCCCATTGCCTCGTGTAATGACTTTGCTGCAGGCAGTTTTCCAGTTCCAAGAGAGATACACAAGCCCCTGCTCCGTTCGGGCCATGCCTGATTAATGGGGCAAGGTCAGACTTGCCTTTTCCAGCCCTCCCACAGATAGACCCTGTGCTGAGAAATCCCAGCAATGCCTTAATTCTCTAGCTTCAAGTAGATGAGACCCAGGCAGTGCCAAGCCTTTGCAGTCTTCTCTCCTTAAAAGTGATGCAGTATTTTTCCCCATCAAGAAAGTGATATGTAATGCCTTGTGGAACTTGCATTTTAAACCCCCAACTCACTCCAAAATCTTGGAAGAAACTATCCTCAGAACCATTATTGTCATTCAAGGAAGAAAATTGCTTTAAATCATCCAGTAAATAATTAACAACTCTAGCAGTTTATGAAAATAAAAAACCGGCATCAGTTGGGCATGTGCATACCAGCAGCAGCTGCCTGTCAGTCTCTCATTGGAAGCTCAGACCTTTCACCTTTCAGTGTGTGTCACTAAATGGATTCGTTATCAGAACATCTTATTATACAAGAACAGTTTTTAGCCACTTCTCTGGGAAATGCCTACGACCCGCTGAGATCAGCAAAAAGGGAACATTCTGAATCCTTCATTGTCATTATCTAATTGGGTCTGTGGCAGGATTCAGCCGCATCAGAGCTGGTCTCAAAAAAGAAAGCTTTTGTGAGGCCAGACAGAAACTTTTTTGTGTGAGTCTTAATTACTTTCCCATGGATTCCTTGTTTTTCAGGTCCTATCAGTTCAATTATTAAACTCAAACACAAATTCTGTCAGGAACTTGAGCAGCAACAGAAGGGAAGTTGGGGTCCCAGAAAACCCTGAGTCAGTGGCGATGCCATCGCATTAGAAATCAACCTAGTTCCACCATCATGCAACCTCTCTCCCTCCTCACGTAGTCAAAGACCTCTCCTGAAAATAAATTAGCCCTGGATTCCCAGTTAGTTCAGGGAGAAGTGGCCTTGGCAATCACGCTCCGCTTTCACTCTGGCCTATAGATAGCACTTTCCAAAGATGATCAACACAGTTCCTTGGTGCCACATAGGTGCTACCAGATATAAAAAAACCTAAGGCGCTACATGACCTGAGAGATGTGATGGTCTGCTTCTGTGGGATTAAAGACTAGAAAACTTCATGGGGCAAGTCTACTCTTTCATACAGGGTCAGAGCTGAAAATCGACTCAAGGCATCTAACAAAAACAACGGCAGATGGCTGAAGGAGCTCAGTTCGTGTCACAGTTTGATGAAGCCATTTTTTCCCTAAGGGTTCTTTATTCTGTCATTCCAGCTGCTTCATATACAGATAGCTCTGATGATGAGACCTCCCCCAGGGACAAGCAGCAGAAGAATTCTAAGGGGAGCAGTGACTTCTGTGTCAAGAACATCAAACAGGCAGAATTCGGACGGAGAGAAATTGAAATTGCTGAACAAGGTAAAGAAAGCAAACCCCTTCTCCTCCTTCTCAGTGAGCCTGTGTTGTTCTGTCCCTGCTGGGTCCATTCCTTTCACATCCTGAGTTCTGGGAGTGGGAGAAAATTGTCAGGTAGGAGAATACTTAGAACACAAGAGACCAACCTCAGGAAACACTTGAGTTTCAAGGGAAGAGAAGCCCTGGGAGTGTAGATGAAACTCTCCATGCAAAGAAGAGGAGAGAGCCTGGGTTAGAAGGGCTGGGATCTTGGGAATTGCAACCCTGGAGCACTGGCCTCTGAAAGCAGCTTCTGTGAAGGGGCTGATGGAAGAACAGCCATGCTCCTTGGGTTTCCGCTGGCGGGATTGTCACAGGTACAGTGGTAGACTTTTCTTGTGGGGCACCTGTGGATGGACTGAGACTCTGACCTTATGTTTAACACCTGAGTACATTGCCCATTTGTATCACCCAGTGACTCCCCAGCCCCTTTTCCCCCACTCTCTGTTTTTATACCATTTTATTACAGTTAAGCAACACATCTTTCTTTCCAAGGTTAGTTGATTTTTGGAGTCTATTTGGCCACTTATGTTAGTATACTAATTCTGTCTCTGGTCTGCTTTGAGTAATTGTGTGCCCTTGAGTCAGAACCAACCCATAGCTGACCTTCCATTGAGTTTTCAGAGGCAGTAAATCTCACAGGAGTAGATTATCCATCCTTCCGCAGAGTAGCTGATGGATTAGAACCAGGTGCCTTTGAGAAAAAATATTTGATGATGACATTTCTGACAAGGGACTCCTAACTTAAATTTATAAAGCACTGCAGTCCATCAACAAGACAAGGACTGAGAACCCAATTACAAAATGGGCAGAAGACATGTAAAGACTCCCCAGCCCTTTTTAAAAGGAAAATCGAGTTGTAATGTCCATGTCCTTGATAAACCTAATCTAACAGAAGAAGGATTTTTTTACCTCTTATTCCTCCCTCTAATATTATTGTGTGGGCCTTTTCAGAAATGCCTGCACTGATGGCTTTGCGGAAGAGAGCTCAAGGAGAAAAGCCTTTGGCTGGAGCCAAAATTGTGGGTTGCACACACATCACTGCACAGACTGCTGTAAGTTCTTTCCTTTCTGCGCAAGAAAGCATTAGTTACGAGCAGCTACTAGTTATTAAGTTGTTAAGTCCAGTGTGCTGAGCCTGGGGTTAAGGGTTAACTAATAGTTGTTTGTTGTTTAATGCCGTCGAGTCGTAGACGACTCATAGCGACCCTTTGAAACGAACAGCCTGAGCACAGTACCTCGTTAAATCTCACAGTGATCAGGGAAAGCAGGTATTCTTATTTTCATTTTATAAGCAAGGAAGCTGAGACTCAGAGAGTAAAGAATTTGTCAAGGTCGTACAGCTGCTACTTCATAGAGTTAGTATTTCAGTGAAAGTGTACTGACTCCCAGACTTGTTTTCTCTACTATGGTACATTGCTTAACTTCCTTTCCAGTCACTTCTACGAAGCAACTCTGAGGTAGATTGTTTTCAGCTATAAATAGGAGAAAATCTAATTTCACCTGGCTGTTCCAAGATAATTTCTTATTTTTTCTTAGAGTTTTTAAAATTTATTTTTTATTGTTATTTAAGTGAAGGTTTACAAAGCAAATTAATTTTTCCTTCACGCAGTCGTAAACGTTTTATTTTGTAACATTATTTACCCACAATGTAACAGCACTTTCTCCTCTCCCTCCTGTAATTCTGATTTCCCTTAATCCTTCTGGATATCACTGTGGTGTCCCTTTCATTACTGATACTACACTGATCATCCCCCTAACTTTAGTGTCTTTCCCTTTCCCTTTCTCTCTCTCTCTGTGTGTGTGTGTGTGTGTGTGTGTGTGTGTGTGTGTAATGTCAGATTGGGTCTGACTGGTACAGGAGGCAATTGTCCCTCCTTTTTCAGCAGAGCATCTGGTGGATTCGAACCACATACCTCTGGGATTGTAGTGCAGCTTCTTGCCACTCGGACACCAGAGCTTCCTACCCTTCACCTTTCTTAATATGAACCTGCTTACTATTCCTCTCTCTCTCTCTCTCACTTCTCATCCATGTTTATCCTGCAAAAATTATTCTCTCAATATGTAAACTTCTCCTTTGCTTTTCATAACGGTAGTCTTATACAATATTTGTCCTTTTCTGACTGATTTATCTCACTTAGGATGATGTCCTAAATAATCCGTATTATATAGTATTTCCTAAATTCTTTATTGTTTTTCAGTATTGTGTAAATACTCCATTTTGTGAATGTACTATAACTTCATTATCCATTTGTCTGTTGATGGAACTTAAATTGTTTCCATGTGTTTGCTGTTACAGATAATGCTACAAAAAGAACATAAGTGTGTATATGTCTGTTCAGGGCATGACTCTTACTTCTTTGGAGTTTATACCTAGTATTGGGATTGCTGGATCAAAGTTGATTCTATTTCCAACTTTCTTAGGAAGCACCACACTATTTTCCATAGGAGTCATATATCATTTTACATTCCTACCGGCAGTGTGTGAGAATTCCAGATTTTCCACACTGTAAGGGAATTTACTGTTATACAGTAAGAAGTCCAGGGTCAGGCCAACTTCAGATGAGCTCTATGGGGTTTTTTGTAGCATTATTTCTAACAGCAAAGATATGGAAACAACTTAAGTTCCATCAATCGTCCCACCTCCCTGTCCTCTCTTGGAGCTGCCCCCTTGGCGTTCTTATTTCATCTTCTCATTGGTAGCAAGATGGCCACAACTATCCCAACCATCAGTAGCTGATGAACAAGGAAAAGGGCCATTTCTTCCTCTCCCAAAAGCAAGGGACCCTTGTCGGGAGTCCAGTAAAACATTTAATCAGGTTTCACTGAGCAGAATTGGATGATGTGTACATGCCTCACCAACAGTGAACTGGAGTCACTGTGATTGGCTTAGGCCAGTGATGTCTCAACTCTCAGATTCAGTGCCCCTTTTAATATAAGAAAATATTTTGTAGTGTACCTGTATGATTCTGAAAAGAAATTCTGATCAATTGTGTACATGTAAATATGATACTTTAAAAATAAATGTAAAAATAAATAAATATAAAATATCATCTGAAATATGAGTAGGAATAAAAGGGAAATTGTTTATAATAAAATAATGAATATTTCAGTATGCAAATGCCTAGGCACATTTATTAGTGTTAGAACAGCCAGATATTTGTACTTAATTCATAGCATCATTTGAATGAGAATGCAAAGAGATGGAAATGAGCTATTGACTTCAGAACATCAGAGCAGTATTTCTAATAATTTGGTTTCGTGAACAAGTAAACAACTCTTCATGTATTTCTGAATATCACCACCTAGAAGGATGAATTTGCTCTTGATTCACAAAGTAGTGCTTTTCTCGAAAAAGTATCACTAATTTGTGTTAACACTGCCGATACTTTTTTGCTAATATGTGAAATAGAGTAAGATTCCAAATTCAGATGAGTATAAATACTGGGTAAATAGAGAAAATTATTTTAAAAATTATAAATCATTTTTACTGATGAAATGTGAACTTCCATTGGGACATTTGAAAATTGCCCGTGATATGGCTCCATTTCACATTGTAAGACTGTCCTGCACATTCGGGATGCCCACACGCCTCCCCCTGCCCACTGAATTCTAGTAGCACTCCTAATTATTGTGATTAAAAAAGAAAACACCCCAACACCCCAAACAAAAAAACCCTACAGATTTCTAAAGCACTTCTCTTGAGAACCACTGCTTCGATATCACCAAGACAATGATAGATAAAGCCAACAAGAATGACTTCTAGAGGAAAACTAATATAATAGTCTAGAATCTTTTCTAAGCTCAGGAGCATCTCGACAGCTAGATCAACTTTGCAAAGATTGTCTTTCTTGAAGCACCCCAGGTACGTGGCCCCGGTTCTGAATAAGGGCAGTAGAGACTCACTGCTCAAGTCACAGACACCCTCCCCCACTTAGCATCTTCACTTGGCGACTTCTCGTATGTTCTCTAAGGAAAAGAGTACCTTCAATAACCAAAAGTGAGATAATACATTGAAAACTATGTCTTTGTGGAACTACAAACTAATCAACCTAGGCAGAGATACTCTTGGAACCTTTTCTGAATCACCTTAGTCAGGGACATGAGACTTTGGGGTAGTGTCTTAAAATAGCAGGTGTTTGTCTACTGTCTCGTGTTGCTAACTCATATCTAGTTTGCTTTTACCCCCTGACTCACCGAAGATTAACTCTTTACAAGCTTCCTTCTCTATCTTTTCCTGAATGGACTAAACACAACCAGTTTATCAGTTTTAATAATATTATTTCATTGCTTCAATTTCATATTTTTCCTTTTCCCTTTTTGAAACACGTAATCACAAAGAAGTCTTGTTTTCTTTTGTGATGTTTTGGACATCTGTTTCTCTGAAAAAAGAATGCATGTTCATTTCATAGTATTATCACAGTATTTAATGTAGAAAGACAGTCTCTTAACCCCTGTCCCAAAAACTCTCTACATGGCTCATAAACTTGGATATATTTATATTTTTCAGGGGAGCATCTCTTGTTGATTCAAACCAGGATTTGTTAAACCAGCTTTCAAACAGAATTCTCCTCCTTCTCCAGCCTGTCTACATTCCTATTTAATCCCTCAGAGCTAGTAGGCTTCACTCATAGTTCTTTGAAGAGACCACATATTCTTGGTATCAATCATTTTTCTTTAGAAGATTAGTTTTTATTGCTTAGTCTCAGAATATTTTTTTTATTTGACAAATTCATAAATCCTATTTGTGGGAATTCAGAATTTCTTTAAATTGAAAAGGAAAATGGAAAACCAAAACCAGGTATTTAAAAATAGAGTGAACTATGTATTAATTCACATGAGTAGTGCATCATTAACTAGCTTTGAGACCTTGGGCAAGTGTCTTGAGAAGATTAGTCTAAATCAATGGGCTCTCTTAAGTTTTCTTTTGTTTTTCAGCTTGACCCATATACATGATATAATTTTTGTTACAGAAATTTTATAAAATACAGATTTTTTTAAATGAACAATACAATACCAGTAGGTAATGATAACCACTGTTAGTAACCTAACTTAAAATTATTGTGCCTAAACATATATAATAAAATGTCATTTTAACTCTTTTTAAGTTTTCTATTTCATGACATTAATATGTTGCACAATCATCATTATTTTTTTCCAAAAGTGTTTCATCATCACAAAAACAAGCTCCATACTCCTTAAGTCATAATTAAACATTCCTCCCCTCTCCTGGTTCCTGGTAAGCACTAATAAACTTTTGTCTCTATACACTTGTATATTCTAGATGTTTCATATAAAATGAGATCAAATATTATTTGTTCCTTTCTGTCTGACTTAACTAAACATGCTTTCAAGGCTCAGCCATGTCATAGCGTGTATCCAACCTTCGTTTCTCTTTATGGCTGGATCCGGAATTCCATTATATTTATGTACTCCAGTCTGTTTATCCTTTCATTGATTGACAGACACTTGAGTTGTTTTCATCTTTTGTCTACCCTTAAGTGAATATTCGTAAACAAATGCCTATTTGAGTCCCAGTTTTCAAATCGTATGGGTATATTCACACACCTAGAACTAGAAATATTAGATCATATGGTAATAATGTGCTAACCTTTTTTTGAGGAACTCTCAAACTTTGCTGAGACAATTCCTATCTCCTTTCCCTTCACTTGAAGAATTTAACCCCCTATGAGAAAAGAATAGGGAGCTCTGGTGGCCTAGACCTGATAAGAAGCTGTGCAGCAATCCCAAAAGGATGAAGTTCAAATCCCCGAGCTACTCCACAAGAAAAGGATGGACACTCTCCTCCCATGTGATTTACTGCCTCTGAAAACCCACGAGAGCTGAGTCAGTGCTGACTCTGCAGCACAAAACAAGGAGAAAAGGATGTGGGCAAATGAACTGATATTATGACTGACTCCCAGGGCAGCCAATCAGCTCTTGTTAAGGGAGGTTCTCTTTGGTGCCCTGCCCACCCACCCCTAGTGTCTCTTGGGAAGACCAAGTGATGGCTTCACAAGAAAGACTTGCATGTGAGAGGCATTTCTTTATGCCTGGAGCTCCCAGAAGCTCCGAGTGGATTCATTTTCCTACATCTTGCCTCTAGGAATTTGTTACATTTTTCTTACCCTCATGTATGGCAGCTGCTGCTTCTGTAATCTGTCTAAGGTGAAATAGGACTTGTCCCTCTCTGTAGTTCAGTTTGAGTTCTCCCTAAAGGCGAGTTCTGAAGAGGTTCTTCAGAGCAGTTTGGAAATCACTGGCCTGGATTATTCCTGATGTCCTTTCCTATTGCAGCCATTATTGAATTATGTATACTCTGAGTTGTCTTGACCAGTTGCTTGGCCCAGGTTTGCTCATTCCCCTCTTTCTCTTTATCACAGGTGCTTATGGAGACCCTGGGTGCGTTGGGGGCTCAGTGCCGCTGGGCTGCCTGCAACATATACTCCACTCTCAACGAAGTGGCAGCTGCTCTGGCAGAAAGCGGTAAGATCTGTGGCCTGGCCTTTGTGTTTTGGCTCAAGTGAGTCTCTGAAAGCTCAATGTGAAATCTTTAAGGAAGGTTGATAGTAGAAATCTATATGAGGAGAAATCACTATACTTGATAAATTTCATCTCTTCTCTGTATCTCATCAAATGTGACCTTATTAACGTCCTTGCCGTACAGTTGGCAAATATCTAGAACTAATAATATTCTAATAATATTTCATGATTAGCTACTGCATTGCCAGAACTAATTAGAACAAACTAATTGGAGTAGCATCCTATACTTCTTGCTCTCTACGGTAATAGGAACTTGAGAAGAAAATGCTGCAGGTATTATTTTGTGGCCCTGCTGGCTTCCCAGACAGCTGTTTGCCCTTATTTAATGTTTCATGTTTCTGCTTCAGCGGTAGAGAGGATTTGCCCTAGCAGATTAATATTTGATTGCTTATACTTGAAGAACAACAGAAGTAGAGAAGTTTGGACTCTGACGGCAGCTCACCTTCTGTCTGACAGCACAGCGGACATGTGGGGACATACACTTGTTCAGAGCTCCTGGGAAGGGCCAGGATGCTGCTAGCACCCTGGTGTGACATCTGTTTGCTCATTTGTAATTAAAAAATTATTGATATAGGAGATATGAATAGAAAAGGGAGCAAATCTTAGATGTACAGCCCCATGAATTATACATACACACTTGCATTTTTTAAAAATGTTTATTGACCTACTTTAAGAGTGTAAGAGTGAGACAACATATTTACTCTCAGAATCTGAAATTTTGGAAGTTAAAAAAAACCTCAAATTCATTGCCGTTGAGTCAGAAGCAACTCACAGCTGGCCCTCTAGCAAGTTCACAGAGGTTGTAAATCGAATGGGAGGAGATTGCCCATTTTTTCCCCATAGAGCAGCTGATTGATTCGGACTACCTGCCTTTGGATTGGCAGCTCATCTGGGCTACCAGAGTAAATAGTGGTGGTAATGGTGAGTGTTAGCTTCAAAAAAGTTAAATATGACTCAGAGAAACCTTATAAACAATAGATCTGAATCCTGTCCTCTCCTATGCCAACTTCCTCATCTCTGATACACTTGAGCACATTTTTGCAGTCACTGTATTCAATCCATCTCATTGGGAGTCTCCCTTTCTTCATTGACCCTCCACCTTTCCCAACGTGATGTCACTTTCCAAGGAATAACCTCTCCTTGGCAACATGTCCAAAGTCTGAGAGACAAAGCTTTGCCATCTTTGCCTGCAAGCGCACTCTGGCTGCACTTACTCCAATGAAGCTCTCTCTATTCTTTTGTCAGGCTATGGGATATTCAGTATTCTCATCCAACACCACCATCAAAAGCATCAACTTTTCTTCTCTCCTCCTTATTCATTATCTAGCTCTCAAATGCATAGCAAGTGATTGGAAAGACTGTGACCGGAACCAGGTACATGATAATCTTTAAACTGACATCATTGCTCTTCAGTATTTTGGAGAGGTCCCTGACAACCAGTTTGCCCAGTGCCATATGTCTCCTGATCTCCTGGCTGCTGGTACCAACAGTGTTGATTGTTGATCCAAACAAGGTTGTTGGAAGCAATTGTCAGGAAATCAAACAATGCACGGCAATGGGAAAATCTGCTGTCAAAGCCCTCTTTAAAGTGGTAGAGAGCAAGGATGTTGCTTTGAGGACTAAGCTGTGCCTGACACAAGCCATCGTGTTTTCAGTTGCTTTCTGTGCATCCGAAAGTTAGACGATGAATAAGGAAAATTGAAAAATTGATGCCTTTGCTTTGTGTTGTTCTTATGAACTGCCAAGAGAACAAACAAATTTGTTTTGGAAAAAGTGTAGAGTGTTTCTTAGTGGCAAGGACGATGAAGCTTTCTCCCACATACTTTGAACGTGTTCTCGGGAGAGGCTAATCCCCGGAGTAGGGCACCATGCTTGGAAATGTGGAGGTTCAGAAAAGGAGAGGAGGACCTTCAGTGAGGTGGATTGACCAGTGCCTGCAGCGATGGGGGTGAGGGCAGCCGAGTGTGCGAGGATGCCACAGCGTGGGTCCTGGTTGAGATCTGCTGTGCACAGGGTTACCTGAAATGGACTCAGTGACACTTGGCAACAACAACAAACTGAACTCAGACCTCAAACTCACTGCAGCCCAGTCAGTTTCTTCCCGTAGCAGCCTTCCATCGCGTTGTCGAGCCTGTAAATCATAGTGGACAGAGACTGCCCATCTTTTTCCCACAGAGACACTGGTGGGTTCAAACTGGGGGAAGCATTCGCCTTCCGGGTCAGCAGCACGACTTACTGTGAGCTACAACAGCAGAGCTCCCTTGAATGATGCTGATCCAAGGTCGTATGTCATAAATGCCACCAAGCCAAAAGCCAGTGCCATCAAGTTGATTCTACCTCATAGTTACCCACGTTGGAATAGAGCTGCTGCGGAGAGTTTCCGTGGCTGTGAATCTCTGTGGAGCAGACGGCCATGTCTTTCTTTGTGGAGTGGCTTGTGAGTTTGAAGCACCACTGGTTTATTAGCAGCCTAGATCTGTAACACTGTGCCACCAGGGCCTCTCTGTAAATGACACAATCAATCAGAAATCCAGTACACAAATGATTGGCTTATAAAAGTCCTGATTAACTTAAGAGATCACTTCCGACTGGCTTCATCACTGGCGCTAGGACTGGGCCGTGAGGCATGTGGATATTTTAACATGGGGTGGGGCTCAGATAGGAGGGCTAAGGTAGAGAAGCACGGACGATGAAAGAGTAGCTGAGAAATGGCACTGGCTCTGGTTTGAGTTGGTGAATAAATATTTCTGGGTTGTTTCTTTATCCTTTTTTTAATTATTATTATTTGTGTGTGTGTGTGTGTGTGTGTGTACCGTCAAATCAGATCTGACTAGTACAGGAGGAGATTGTCCCTCCTTCCTCGGCAGAGCATCTGGTGGATTTGAACTGTGCGCCTCTGGGATTGCAGTGCAGCTTCTTGCCACTCTTTATCCTCTTTAATCATGTTTTTTAGGGCCCATCGTATTTTGCCCCTTTTGCTCGAGTTGTTTAAGCTAGCACGAGTCCAGTGCCCACCAGAGACAGTGGAATGGGCAGAGGGCTGGAGGCAGTGCCAGCCAGTGAAGAAAGCTTGTCCAGGAGCAGAGCAGCCTGGGAGTTCAGCATGGGAAAAGCTGGAGTCCGACTGCCCAGGTGTGGGGCTGGCCCTTTTTCCAGGCTTTCATGGTTTCCCTTTTTTCTTTTCTCAGGATTTCCTGTCTTTGCCTGGAAAGGAGAGTCAGAAGATGACTTTTGGTGGTGCATTGACAGATGTGTGAATGTGGAGGGCTGGCAGCCAAACATGGTGGGTCGCGTTGCTGCTAACACAGTTTCACTGGGTTGGGAGGGGCCTGGGGATGCCACGGGCTGGGAGAGGGATTCCCAAGCAGAAGGAAGAAGAGTGACTTTTCTCTTTTATAACTTGGGTTTCCCACAGAACTGGATGCTTGTTTCTCTAACGGTAGAATATCGTTGTCTTGGACCCCGAGAGGATCCAGTGCCTTACTTACTGCGTCTTTAGAATTCTGAGTGTCCATCCTGTACATTGTCCTCCTTGCCCCGCCCTCAAACAAAGGAAAGCAAAAAACCTGGAAAGATCACAAGTTCAAATCTCTACTCTTTATTCCTCCTCTACCTCAAAAGATCAGGCAGTTTTGGGGTTTTCACTTTTGACTTCCTCACACATACTTTTGTTTCCATATTTAGTTTTTGAAAACTGGTAGCACCTTAGATTCACAGGGAGAGGCAGAAAGCTGTGCAAAATATGTAGTCCTTTCCCTTTGCAGACATTTCTGTCTGTAAAAAAGAGAAGGAATTGAGGAATCCGCTCCTGTGATAACCCTTGTGCTCTTATCCCACCACCGCTGTCTGGGAGAGGGCTGAGCAGGCTGCGGCTGGTGCATGGGGAAGAGAGGCAGCCTCTCCTCTGGGCGCTGTGACCTGGGTCCCACCACCGCTGTCTGGGAGAGGGCTGAGTAGACTGAGTCTGGTGCATGGGGAAGAGAGGCAGCCTCTCCTCTGGGCGCTGTGACCTGGGTCCCACCACCGCTGTCTGGGAGAGGGCTGAGTAGACTGAGTCGGGTGCATGGTGGAGGAAGGCAGCCTCTCTTCTGGGCGCTGTGACCTGGGTCCTGTTGAGGCAAGCACTGGTGTGAGGAAGAAACTAGGGCAAAGCCAGGGGAATGGTGAGGGGAGTGTGAGATCACGGCTTTAAGATGCCAGCTCGTTCCAGCAAAGTTTGACAGTGACAAGGAGGAGCATGACCGACAGACACTGAAGATGAAGAAGTGCCAAGGGGTTTACTTGGCAGAAAGCGTTATCCTGTAGTCATGCGCCTGTAGAAGCCATGGAATTGTACCCAGAGCACATTCCCAGGCTAAGGGAGCCAGCACAAGCTATCGGAGACGTAGATGAAGGGAAGAAAGACAAAGGCAGGAAGACACCTGTCTTAAGTAAACAGGATGTGAGATTTTTCTAACCTTAGGTTGGCACAGGATAGAACAGGGTTTAGGGCTCTTGTACATAGGGTCGCTATGAGTCGCAAACGACTCGACGGCACATAACAACAGCCTTAGGAAGATCCTCTGGTGACACTCATTTTTTTAATGAAAATAAGCCTTTACCTCAAGTAATAAATACATACAAAGATGCCAACACTGTGAGTCTTTTTCTTCCCCCGATGGTGTGTGATCAACATTAACGCACAGCTGAAATCACCAAGACCGTCTCTGTGTGAAAATTCTCAGGGGGTGGGGGGAGTCTTTGATGCATTTGGCCTGATGTTCTTTGTATTTATAACTTGTGCATTTATATATATTTTTTTTAATTTACTTTAAAGCACTCTAAATCATGCAAATGCTTAAGCAAGAGTTTTGTTGAACAGAATTTAGGCTGGATGGCCACTGGAGGGCTCAGATACTAAGAAAGCGCGCGGTCAGTATTCATGGAACAAACGATCTTGAAGGCTGCTATGAGCTTATGGGGCGAGGGATGGGGCGAGGACAGTCTCGGTGACATTCACGTAAGCAGGAGAGCAGAGGGAGATGAGACACACGGGAGCTACAGTTTGCCACAGAACTGGTCACTTTGCTCGTTGTTTGTAAATCAAGACCTGGGAAGGGAGACCCAAACCTGGGGAGTGCCTATCTACTGAAAACGCAGATCCTACCCAAACGCAAACCCTCCCACCCTCAGAGACGGGAGGTTCACGGCCAGTGAACCAGAGAAGGGAAATGGGAAAGAGAAAAAAAAAACACAGGGAAAGTCAGCACTTTGAAAACAAAGAAAACAGGGGAGATTGAGTGAGTGGGCCCTTCTCATCCTGGGAAGAGATGGACAATCCCAAGGGCCAGCGAGGCACTAGGATCTGGCGTTGCGTTCGGTCTCGGCCAAGCACTCCCGGACCAGACCTCGGGCGTGAATGATGCGTCGCTTCAGCCGCTCCATGGCGCTCTTGCTGCCCGCGTAGGTGGGCCTGATCTTCTTGCCCAGCTCCTCAATGATGGCCAGCAGCTCTGCGTACTTGCTCTGTGGCACCTGGCTGTTCCCAGTGCCCTGGGTGTACCCAAGGGATGGTGGCCCGTAGTCACTCAGCAGCTGGCGGTACTGGGAGGACGTGGCCATGCTGGTGGATGGAGAGTGGACACTCCCAGCCACGTTGAGGGCGGCGGCGGGCTTGTGCGCGTTCCAACACTCATTTTTTTTCAGTAGAATTTCATACTGAGAATTATGGGCTGCACTGATGTTATAACTATTAGGGATGTTATAAATATTAGAGATACGGTAAATATTAAAGATGGAAATTCCAATCTCTGTTAGAAACCTTCATTAAAAGGGAAACGTGGTTGACGAGATCAGGTGCGTTCAGGCTGGTATAGCCATAGACAGGAAATGTGGTTGAGAATAACGGGATGGACTTAATACACAAGAGTTTTCAATTGTTCGACCTGATTTTGTTTCTAACCTTTTTTGTGGCTCAGGATCAGAGACTGAAAGGGGAAATTCCTTGAGAGAGTTCATACGTGTAGAGAGAGGGAAGCTCAGGAGAGCCTTTCAGCCCCCTGGGGTACCTGTTTGGAGGGTCTCCACCAGGAAAGGAGAACACTCAGCAAATGTGAGGGCTTTCATAGAGGCTGGCCTTGAACCCCTGTTCTCCAGGTGTTTTAGCTGAGCCAGAGAAAACAGATGAAGAGATCAGGTGGTAGGCACCAGGTTGGGGATTTTGTGTACCCTGGAGTCCAGAGTGATATTTTTGGCACTTCTAATTAAGTTGATAATTGATGGGACTGCAAAATAGGGGCATGCCAGTAGAGGGCAACTCAGCTCGGTGGACTTGGCAAGGGCATGGGTAACCATTCGGAAAGTCCTGCATCTCTCATTCAGCAGGCTGAAGTGCCGCCGTCCCGAAGTGCTGGGTATTCCACAGTCTGGTCCTCCTTTCGCTCATTTCTGCCTCCGAAGCTGTCCTCTGATGGTGGAAGCTCCAGTGGGCACAGCCTTGTTTTTATCTTTAATCCCAGGCTGAAATAGTGATGAGCTGTTCAGAGGCACACTGGCACACCTACATGCTGCGATTTCCCAGTTATTTTTCATTTGGTTTATACAGCGTGTAAGGCTGAGTCAGGCAAAATCCTACAGTGCTGCCTGAGATTCTGGGGCTGTACTCTAGGAGGAGTACCGGATTAGGAAATGCCATTTCACAAACCATAATTCTGAGAGGGACATGCGTTATCTGATCTTTAAATTAACCCTTTACTGATGGCAGTATAGTCTATAGTTAAAACAGCAGAAATCTGCTAAGGGTCAGCCTTTCTTACTATCTATCTATAGTGCTTCCATGAGTTAGTAGTCTAGATAACCACTCAAGCTCTTAATCTCTAAGACATTCCTTGGTTAGGTTACTGTGTGTGGTGAGAAATACGTCATGCGGGAAGGGTATTTGGCTGTAAGAATCATAACTGGACTTTCACTCCCTCACTGTCTTTTGCTTCAGTACAATGACTCCTGGTAGGTTCTGGTGTTACCACAACCATACAGGAAATGCAGCGCCTGTCCTGTGGTCATTACAAGTTGAGGTAAAAGACCCAGAGAACCACTGAGAGCTTTGAACGGCCAGAAAAATGAATTACTTTATTGATGTTTATTATTGCAGATCTTGGATGATGGAGGGGATCTTACTCACTGGATTTATAAGAAGTATCCCAATATGTTTAAGAAGATCAAGGGCATCGTAGAGGAGAGTGTTACTGGAGTCCACAGGTAAGAGCTGACACAGTCATACCTTGTTGTATGCAACCTGGATGCATATTTTATAATCCTTTACCTATTTAACACATCAGGCCAAGAATTGGAACCTGTCATGATGAAACTAGATCTGAGTCTGTACAATTTTCTTTTTGTGAAATTATACAACCTAAATAATACAACCTAAAAGAACCAAGAGGAGAGTTGGGGTGACAGGGAGTCCTCATGTTTTATGGTTGTTGTAATGCAAAGACTACTTTTCCTTTTTGGACTAGTTAATTTTTAACCCAATATTTTGAATATAGTGAGCCAAGAACTACTCTAGTGCTAGGGATTATAATAGACGAAGCAGAGGAAAGTCTGCGCCCTGGTAGGATGTACATTACATAGACATAAGGACTTGGGTTCTGTCTCTGAAATGACAAGTTGTTCCCAGAGTAAAACTGGAATCATTTCTGGTTACTATTTTTCACTCGTAAAGAACTGAAAGTATAAAAGTCCGAGAGAAGAAAATTCTGGCTAAGGCACTGTCACAATTTCAATATATTACTTTATTTTTAATACATGCAACGATGTTAGACTAGAGCTCCAAACTCCTAGAAAAGAATAAATAAGTAAGCACATGCAACTGTGTTAGACCAGAGCTTCAGGCTCCCAGATAAGAATGGCTGCTGAATGAATAAAACACCTCGTTGCCGTTTTCAGTTGACTCAGTTGGTTATTTGAACTCGTTTTTCAGTCTAGATTCCCGCCGTTCTTTTACCCAGTAACTTGGTAGAAATGTCCTCATTTATCAGATGTTGTCTAAATACATATTCTAAATTCATTTTGACCTAACATTTTATATCTGAGTTGGTGAGATAATTAATTTAATACCTAGTTCTGGCAAGATAGAGATTAAAATTCGTATGCCCCTATGTTGCGGGTATTTTAGGAGTTGTCACATGAAGGTAGAACATCTCTCCCTTAAAAGAAAATAATTGAGTATGTGAAGGGTTTTTTATTATCACTATTAGCATTTACTCTCGGTGATGAGGCTCAGTAAATGTCTTACAGTGCTTGCTTCATCCTCTAAAACCCGTAATTGGACCATCCTCAGTTCCAGTGGCTTCCTGCTTGAGAACACTATTTTCATCATAACTCTGTAAATAATCATGTTCATCCTGGCACACGTTGCATTGGGATAATCAACTGTCATCAATCTCTCCAACGTGCCAAAGGGCAAGGATCTCTGTTTAAAGACTAAGGTGCACCTGATCCAAGCCATGGTATTTTCAGTTGCATCCTATACATTGGAAAGTTGAACAGTGGTTAAGAAGGACCAAAGAAGAATCTATGCCTGTGAATTATGGTGTTGTGGAGTACTATTGAATATACACCATGGGCTAACGAAAGAATAAACGAATCTGCCTTGGAGGAGGTATAATTAGGGTGCTCCTTAGAGGCAAGGATGCAACTTCGTCTCACATACTCTGGGCATGTTCTCAGGAGGACTCAGTCCTTGGGAAATTATATCATGCCGGGAAAGAGAGGGTTAGTGAAGGAGAAGACCCTCAATAAGATGGGTTGAGCAGTGACGGGAACGGTGGGCTCAAGCATGTTTGGAGATTGTGAGGATGACACAAGAGAGGGCAAGGTTCTGACCTGTTGTGCGTAAAGGTGCTGTGAGTCCTGGACAACTTGACAGCACCTAACAACAGTCTTCACACATGCACGTAGTTCACTTTCACTACATTTTGGTCCAGTAAATGAAAAATGGCATTGGAATTGACTAACATTGTTCCTAAAGACAAACAATACTAGAGCATGAAACTATTGCAGTGTTATAAACAGCCCAAGAGAGAAGGAAGAAAAGTTAAATAAATGAGGTCTCTTATTCAGCCATCAAAATGTATTAATGAGTTCTACATAAAATCTGGGAAAATAGTTGTATGTATTTGTGTGTGTGTGTGTGTGAATTGAGATTATAAAATTAAAACTATTTGAAAATAAATTTGAGTGGTGAGATTATACATGATTTTAAAAATAGTCTTTAGACTCTTATAATTAAAAAGCTATCAGTCTGATACAGTTTAAAATTTTAAATTTAAGTCCTTAAAATTTGAAGATAGGTCAGGAATTTTCTACACATGTCTTTGGATTAAATTCTTTCTTTACAAGTTGTGTTTTGAGCTCTAGAAAGAGAATCTGTATTGCTCTGTGCTCACATGCAAGCCTGGTCATTGCCTCATACCTCATGTGTCATGCCCGACCAACATGTCTTTGTGATTTGATATAACCTGATTCAGTTTCTTCCTGTCTTACGTTCTTCTTGGCCTCCCTTGTCCTCAGGCTGTACCAGCTGTCCAAGGCTGGGAAACTGTGTGTTCCAGCAATGAACGTCAATGACTCAGTCACCAAACAAAAATTTGACAACCTCTACTGTTGCCGTGAATCAATTCTTGATGGGTATGTTTTGTTATCTTTGTACTGAACTTGAGATAGTGAGTTGGGTTTATCACCACATCACATCTAATATTTTATAATTCGGAGCAACTGAATGTTGTCATCGCAGTTACAGGCAAATCTGTTTCACCTAAGAACCAGACTAGCTCTTTTCTGTTGTGACCCTATCAGAACTTCAGGTCAGTAACAAAGTCAGTATAAATAAGGAAATCTTGATGGTCTGGGAAAAGGTGTCAGGTAGTCCTAATTCCAGGTCATGTAGTTAGTTTGTCAGCTTCAACTATCATATAATTTTCTGGCCATCTGGACTTTTGTGGTTGGCAGTCAATTCCAAGAGACATTTCTAATTTTTTAGAACCATAAGGACTGCCAGTTTGACAGAATCTACTTAGATATAAGATGTAAATCTGCTTGGAGATATCTTGGCACCAGCAGTCAGGAAATCAAAAAGATGGATTGTATTGAGAAAATCTGTTGTCGGGGACCTCTCCAGAGTGCTGAAGAACGACAGTGTCAGTCTAGACACTAAAGTCTAGAGACTAAGGTGCATCTGATCCAGGCCATAGTCTTTGCAATTACTTGCTATATATCAGAGAGCTGGACAGTGACTAAGGATGACAGAAGAAGAATCAATGCCTTTGAGCTGTGGTGCTGGAGAAGAATATTAAATATTTCAGGGACTACCAAGAAAACAAACAGGTCTGCCCTAGATAGAGTGTAAAACAAACTTGCTCCCTGGAAGCAAGATTTTGAAGCTCTGTCTGACAAACTTTGGGCATGTTGTATGGAGGGACCAGTCCTTGGAGAGGCACATTATGCTTGGAATGGTGGAGAGACAGTGCTAGAGAGGAAGATCCTGGCTGAGATGGATTGACTCATCACTGGGGTAATGAGAGTAGGTGTGTTAGAGTCAGTGAGACTGACTCGGGATAGGACAGGGTTCAGAGCTATTTTGCATAGGGTTATTAGGAGACATTTGACTTGTAGGCACATAACAACAACAATTTCGATACAACTAGATGTTTTTCCATGCCCATATTCTGTTCTCACACTTACATCACAACAATCCTTCATTTCTTGCTTTAAAAAAACTAATTAAAAAAAACCCCTCATTAATTCTCTATGGAAAATTACTACATTTGCTTCAGATACCACTTTTTTGTCAAATGGTTTTTATCATGTAAAGGTCAGTGGAAAAGGCCTATGGGTCACAGTACCAACCAGTCTGGACCCAAATACTCTCTAGAGTGGCACGTGCCAGAACTAGCCTATCATACTGGCTCTATCATTCTTGACCACAGGCCTATTTCCTCAGTGTACCATGCTGACAGTAAAACCTACATTACAGAGTTATGACGAGAATTAAGTTGGATTAGGTATTGGTCCTATTGCTCAGCATTGGTTTCCTTGCCCTTCTTTATAGAACCCTGTATAATGGGTTGAGTCCGATAAATCTAACTTTGAATCTTTTCACTCAGAGGATCTTCACTGCAGATTCTAATTGTTGTTAAACGTATTATCAGGGGGACTAGACATTTACATATCTTTGCAGCCCTTTGACCTGCCTATGGCTTGTCCTTAGGATAGCTGTGGGTTCTCTCCACATACAAGTGTTAATGTGATAAGTAGCATTGAGCCTGATAGAATGAATAGTCATCTGGGTATATTTTCATTGAAATATTTGTTCTTATGTATTGTCAAGTCAGAATCAGCAGGTTGACCTTCCAGCTGGTTTTCAGAAGCTATTAATCACACAGGAGGAGACTGCCTATATTTCTCCCATAGAGCAGCTGGTGGATTCAAGCCACCTGCCTCTGGATTGGCAGCACGCAGCTTCTTACCACTAGGCCACCAGAGCACCTTTAAACTACTCATCCCCAGTTGTCTTTCAGACTTTACTTATCATCACATCTGTGACCTAAATCTGTTCCTGCTCAGTTCAGTGAAAGATGTGTTCTTGTTATTGATGTGTACCATTGAGTCAGAACCGACTCATAGCTGCCCTCCAATGGATTTTCAGAGTCTATAAATCATAAAGGAGAAAATTGCCCATCTTTATGCCGCAGAGCTGCTAGTGGATTCGAACCAGTTGCCTTTTGTTTGGCAACCCAGCTCTTTACCACTAAGCCACCAGAGATGGATAGAGGTGTCCTTCCTAGTTCATAAAAATGGACAACGTTCCTTCTAAGCAAAACTTATCCTCCGAGTAAGGAATAGTCTTTAATGTCAAAGAAGTAGGATCCAGATAGGTATGAATGATGTGTGAAACCAGGGGCTACGGTCAAATTAAAATAAAAAGATCAGTTTCCAACTAGAAACCCATTTAGTAGTTAAGGGCTCATTGATACTGTAAGATAGTGAAAAACTTTCTAATTAATAGACAAGTAAGTCAGTGGGACAGAATAGAGAGTCCAGAAATTGACCCACACAAATACATTCAACTGATTAGGGATCTCTGGTGGCCTAGTGGGTGAGGAGTTGCACTGCCAACCCAAAGGCACATGGTTTGAATTCACCCGCGGCTCCACAGAAGAAGGCTGGGCAGTCTCCTGTTTTGCCTTCACATAAAACCTGCTGGAGGGTCAGCTGTGAGTCAGACAGGAGTGAGTGAGTAAGTCATCTTTGAGCAAAGAGCGAAAGCAATTTAATAAAGAAAGAATAGTCTTTTCGAGTGACCTCTGGTGGCCTAGTGGCAAGAAGTTGCACTGCAATCCCAGAGGAGAGCGGTTCGAATCCACCAGATACTCTGCTGGAGAAGGAGGGACAATCTCCTCCTGTACCAGTCAGATCCGATTTGACGGTACACACACAAAAATAATAAAAATAAAATTAAAAAAATATTAAAAAAAAAAGAATAGTCTTTTCAACAGTGGTGCTAGAACAACTGGATGTCCACACGCCTCAAGAGTGTAGGCCCAGGGCTTAACGTCTTTCACAAAACACTACCTCAGAATGGACCATAGAACCAGTAACTCTAAGAAGCAAAACTATAAAACTTACAAAAGGTCACATAAGAGAAAATCTGAATGACCTTGGATTTTAGATACACCAAAAGCACCAGCCGTGAGGGAAAAGCTTGCTAAGTTGAACTTCACCACTTTCTTTCAAAATGGAAAAGCCCTGTGAAAACAAAGGTACCCAGTCTAAGCTAAGCAAAGAAACAATGTGGTTGTTTCCTGATTTAATGGGTTTTTTCCCCCTTGCCCTAGACTTAAAAGAACAACAGACATGATGTTTGGTGGAAAGCAGGTGGTGGTCTGTGGCTATGGAGAGGTAATATCTAACTTTTCACTTAACAATTAAAGTGTATTTTGCTGAAATACTTGAGAGGTTTTTTTTATTCACATAAGAATAGTTTTATTTAAGACTTTAGATAAGAAAACAAACTTTGGAGGCCCTCTGGTTATAACACGGTCTTCTTTTTCCTTTGTACTTTTGCCATTTTTCCCTAAGCCGCTTTTCTGACTTGCTCCAGTACCACTTTGTGATGTTCTTTTAGCTTGTGTTTTGATTACAAATCGTGAGCGTGGGTGTTTGTGCACACGATTGTGCTAAGCAGTGGCCAGGCGTTTGTTTTTGAGCTGCATTCATTTGTTTTCCTTCTTTTCCCCAAGCATGAATCTATTCAGTGAAACTCCTCTTGGGGGCGGGAGCAGGGTGTGGGGGTGCTCTTTAGCAGAGGCTTTGAAAATCGGTTTTCTTGTTGCCTTCTCTTGTGATGTCTGCTCTCTCCCTCTTCAGGTGGGCAAAGGGTGTTGTGCCGCTCTGAAAGCCATGGGCTCCATTGTGTATGTCACTGAGATCGACCCCATCTGTGCCCTGCAAGCCTGGTAAGCACGCAGAGGAGACGTAGTCCTCCCTGACTCCAGCACCTCACATGACCCTGGGGCTGCTGCTGCCTGGTGATGCCACGTCTTATCTCAGAGGCCCAGAGCCTGAGGGGGCTGCCAGTAACCACATGCTCCTGTCTTGCAAAGGGGAAGGAGCTCTGCTCTAAGATAGCATGTGGAATTCCTTAACAACAGTGAAGCGTTGAGCCGGAGAAGAATATGGAATCCTTGCCCCTTTTAAAACAGTGCCTACAAAGAACTAAGCTGACATCAAATGCTTTGTGAGGCGTGGCCCTGACCAAGGTCCCTTAGTGCTGTTCCTCCTCTAAGTGCCAGAACCTTACTGTGAGGACACAGCTGACAAAGCCAAAGTAACGGGAGAACCTGGTGAATCTGAGGTAGGGTGAATGGCACTCCTTCGTACTAGTCTTATGATTCTGAAGTTTGAAATTATTCCAGAATTAAAAGTTAAAAAACAAAACAGTTGTTAGTATATCTGCAGTCAAGTGTTTGCAGAGCCAGTTTGGAGGATTTTCCGAGTGCACTGTTCCTTTGCTGACAGGAAGTGTGCATGTCAGAGGAACTTAGGGAAACACTCTAACTTCTACAAGCCTCCTCTTTCTCATCTGGATAATCACTCCTACTTCAGCACTCCAAAAGTTCAAGCATTATGTAATAATTATGTAAAGTACAGAGCTGCTGCCGTATAACAGACGCTACGTGGTGGCAGTAACTAAGATGGTCTGTGAACTCCTCAGCAGACAGGAAGTACCACTGTCTTTGAAAACTGTTGCAGAGTCCCCCTGTCTGTAACCTGAATGACAAACACATCTGTTCCATACTGTTAATTAACCCTGGATAGAGTAAAGCCTGGTGTAAACAGTTGATCACAACCCTTTTCCTGTCTCCTCTTCTATATGTCTTAGCTATAACACACAGCTCTCCCCAGCAGATTTGGTGGCTTTTTCTGGGTCAGGACTCTACCACACGCTGGCAACTGTTCCCCTTCAAGTACTCTAGGGGATCATTACAAAAACCTGAGCATGCTTTAATACGGCACAAATTAGATACTGATTTAGATACTGTTCAAATCCTCTTGAAGCATGACCAGTCACTTCCTATTTATTACCAGACACTGTGCTACGTGCCGAGGAGGAATAAGGCCTCTGCTTCTCAAAGCACATGCGCAGCAACCGCTGTGCAGTGTAGTACGTACTGTGACGGTGGCAGACAGCACGCTTCCACAGAAGCACAGAGGAGACGCAGCTGAGGAGGAAAGGGGCTGAACAGGAAGAGGTGTCAGTGCTGCTGAGTCTTGAAACTTGTGTGTTTTCTTAGTTTGGGAATGTATTCCAGGCAACAGGAGCATGCGCATGGCCACAGAGGACAGAGAGAGCTTGGTGTATTTAAAAAGCAGTGCGAGTATTTTAACATACCTGGCTGACAGAATAAATTTGGAGGAGTGATAACGTCTGAGACAGGAAACATCATGTTGTTGTTGTTGCTGTTGTGTACCTCCTAGTCAGAACTGACTCCTAGCTGACCCCCCTGTGGGTTTTCAGACGCAGTAAATGACATGAGAGGAGACTGCCCATCTTTCTCCTGCAGAGCAGCTTACAAATTCAAACCACATGCCTTTAGGGTGACAGTGCAACTTCTTACCACCAAGCCACCAGAGCTCCCTAGGAAGCACGTTCGATGCCAGCAGCTGCATTCCAGCTCATAGGAACCTTACGTACAGCAGAATGCAAACACTCCTGTGCCGTCCTCACAGCCATTGCTGGCTGAGCCCGTTGCTGCAGCCCCTTGTCAACCCGTTTTCTTGAGTGTCGTCTTCCTCATTGACCCTCCGCTTTATCAAGTGTGACATTCTTCTCCAGGAACTGACCATTCCTGAGAACATGGCCAACTCTTGCCATCCTTCTAAAAAGCATTCAGACTGTACTTCTTCCAAGAAAGACTTGTTCATTCGGGTAGACCGTGGGATGTTGAGTATTCGTCATCAGCCCCACAATTTCAGTGTGTCTGTTCTTTGGTCTTCCTTCTTCATCATCCAGCTTTCACACACATATGAGACAATTGAATGACTTGAGTCAGACATACCTTCACAGTTGAGTCAGACATACCTTCACAGTGACACCTTTACTTTTACTCTGTGTGTGTGTGTGCGCTGTCAAATCAGATCTGACTGCTACAGGAGGAGATTGCCCCTCCTTCTTCAGCAGAACATCTGGTGGATTTGAACCACATACCTCTTGGATTGAAGTGCAGCTTCTTGCCACTAGGCCACCAGAGCTCCGACATCTTTACTTTTAAACATTTTAAAGAAGTCTTTTGCAGTGGAATTGCCCAATTCAACAAGACTTCTCAACTGCTTCCAAGGGGGTTGATTATGGGTCCAAGTAAAAGAAACTATTTTTATTGACAACTTTAACATTTTTCCTATTTATTAAGATGTCACTTATTGCTCCATTTGTGAGGACTGGTTTCTTTGTGTTGAGGTGTAATCTATAATGAAGGCTGTGATCTTTAATCTTCAGTAAGTGCTTTAGTCGGCTTCCTTTTTTGCAAGTCCTCTGCATCTTACAGGTGGTTAATGAGTCTCTAATCCTCTAATCCTGATACCATGTTCTGCTTATTTCCAGCTTTCTCAGATTGTTTGCTCAGTATTCAGCTTGAATAAATATAATGAAATGATACAATATTGGCACACAACACATTTATGATTTTAGACCACATAAAATTCCCTTGTTCTGTGTGAATACCTGCTAACTGCCTTTTGGTCTATGTACAAATTCCACATGAACACATTTAAGTGTTCTGAAATTTCCATTCTTTACAGTGTTACCCATAATTTGTTATGATACACATAGTCAAATATGTTTGCATGGTCAATAAAAGACAGGTAAACAGCCGTCTGGTATCCTCTGCTTTCAATCAAAATCCAGCTGATCTAAAGTGCTCTCTCTCTTTACACATTCTTTTCTTGCAATTCTCTTTTAATGTTCTGCTACAACTATTTTCAAATTATCTTTAGCAAAATTTTACTTGTGTCTGTAAAATAATACCGATTATATTTTTTTTTATAATTTTTGCTTTCTGTTGGGTCTTTCTTTCACATAAGCATAGATAATTGATCTCTTCTATTCAGTTACCAGGCAGCTCTCTTCCACATTTCTTAGCATATATGAGTAAGGACTTCTAACATTGTACCAGTTAGTTGAAACATTTAAATAGGTGTTGTGCCTTTGAATTGGTATTTTGGAGCCTTTATCCCCCCCTTCCATTGCCTTCAGTATAGCTTCTTCCTTTGATGTCAACAGTTCTTGATTATATGCAATATCATGAATGTATTTTAAACAAAAGAGTGGGAAAATCTGAATTGCATTTAGGGAAATTACAGAATGAATTACAGATGTGAAACTAGAGGAAATGCGCACTTTTAGGCAAGAAGTAATCAGACTTAAATTTCACAAAGGAAGGGCAGCAGTGATGGAGAAGAGAGGAGGGAAGATTCTAGGGGATTTAAGGCACTGAGGAAGAAGAGTCAACCAGATTTGAAGACAAATTAATTAGAGGGAGGGAGCAAGCTAGTATATCCAACTTATTTTGGTGGATAGTGATTCTTTTAATCAAGGTAGGAATCTTAGAAGAAGAAACTGGTATGGAGAGGTATAAAGGACAGTTTCTTTTCTTTTTGTGAGAAAAATTTGTATTTAGAATTTGCCAGCTGGACTCAGTTTAGATGATCCCAATTTTGTTGGCAACATCCAAAGCATCATAATCAGGAGCAAGTCGAACATAGGCCTTCTTCTCTCCTTCCGGTCACATCAGTGTCATAGAGCTTCTTTACAGTTTGTTTAATTTGGTGCTTGTTGGCCTTGACATCCACAATGAACTCAAGTGTGTTGTTATCTTCTATCTTCTTCATGGCTGACTCATTGGTTAGGGGAAATCTGATGATGGCATAGTGGTCAAGCTTCTGAGGGTGCTCTTCGAGGGTATTTGGGCTGCCTTCAAGTCTCAGCATCTTAGGCCACCGGAAGGTGGGTGACGTGTGGATCTTTTTTTGGGGGCTGTGGATGTCCTTCAGGATGCCTTCTTGGCCTGTAATGCCTTTGCTTTGGCTTCCGTTTTGGGAGGGGCAGGGCCTTCCTTCTTTGCTTTCGGCACCATCTTTGTAGAAAGGATGAGTTTATTTTCTAATAAATAAGATTGAGATCCTGTGGGACATTCACGAGGACACGTATTGGATAATGTGATCGAATAGATCCATCCAGCTTCTCTGAAGCTTCAGAGAGTTCTAAGCGAAAGATATAAGTGTGTGGCTCATCCACCTATAGGTAACCATTGCAGCCAGCGTAACAGAAGATAATACAAAAATGGAGAAAAATGTCATGGGAGAATTCTACAAAATACCAGTGTAAGAAAAACAGAGAGCTGGCCAGAAGAAAATGACACCATGAGTCCGAAGAGTTTCACTCAGAATGCACATGATGTTAATTACGGCAGAGGAATTCAAGTAACAGAAGAGACCAAGAAAGAAATACTTAGGCTTTTGCCATTCAGAAAATCCTTCATTATCTTGGGGAGAGTGATTGGAGAAGTAGATTCAATGGCAAAGGGGTACTTTTAGAAATTCAATTTCACAATAATCCCTACTATCAAGAAAAAATAAGTCCCAGTAATGCAAAGAGATTTTTATTCTATCCCACATGAAGTGTGGGAATGGTTTACAGTTTGCACTATTTAAAAATAGGTTAGCTGTATCAAGAAGTGACCAAGTAGGTGTCAGAGAGACTAGGTAATAACTTCTGAGGTTCTGTAGCAGAAGACTCCCCAGCTACCTGTTGAAGCTAATTGTTTTTGTTTTATTTCTGCAGCATGGATGGATTTCGACTGGTGAAATTAAATGAGGTCATCCGACAAGTGGACATCGTTATTACCTGTACAGGTATGATTATGACAGATAAAATAGGTGACCCTTGAGAGCACTTTCACTCAGGAAGTGAAAAATGTCTCAGCGTTCTAGACAAAAACCACATTCATAAGAGCCACAAATAACAATCCACACTAGTCAATCTTTCACATTCTTTATGTCTCTGGAAAGCACAAATCAACCATTAGGTCATCTCTATACGATAATTTCCACCTGTGTAAAGAATAGAAAATAATGGTACATGGGGGCATAGGGCCATGAGCATCTCCCTGAAAGTGTCAGAAGGAGTAAAAATAGCATAGTCCCTCACGCCAAGAGCAGAAAGCTGATAAAGAGCCCATTGTCCAGTCCCTGGTGCCTGTAGAGTCACACCAACAGCAAGAAGAGGTTTGTTTATTTGTTGCTGACTCCAGATCACAGCCGGTGTACTGTGAATGGGGTTTATTAGGAAACTAAGTTTGAGAGTGGAGGAGGCAAAGAATATCACCCAATGCAGGTCCAGGTGTTAGCCCAAGTTCCAAGGCACAATTCCTCAATTAGTCTAGGCTCTGGTTTAAGTTCAGCAGTCAAATCCAAATCATCGAGCAAGGTTTGCCTCCGAGCAGTTATAAGTCAGCTTCTCCTTCAAACATCTGGCAAGAACAGCAAAAAAACCTTTAACTGTGGCTTTTATTTCAGGATTCCTCTACTAACACCTTGCCAAAATTTCTCCACAGCAATGCCATAGTCTTCACACCACTAGGGTCTCACTCCAGTCTCCCTCAATTCTTGCTCGCCTTAAGTCTTACTGGCCTCTTGCTGCCCAGTGTGGGAAGCACTCTTTCTCTTTTCCTAGTCACACAATTGTTGATGATTTGCAAGACCTTGTGTGTGCAGTTAAGGTAGCTGGAGACCAGAGAGGTTAACTGTCATAGCTAAGAAAAAAAGAAAATCCAACTTTTAGGCTAACAACCCATCTCAGTTACCTCTGAGATGGACATAAATTCACTTGCAGAATTTTATTTGAGAAGCCATATCTTAAGTTTTCACATTTGATATTTTCATTTACCTTTAAAAGTGATAAAATATATTTCTCCCTAGTCTCTCTTCCTCTGACCAAAGGGACAAATCTGGCTTGAAAGACATGCAGCCAGTGTGCCCCTTAAAAGCAAGGGTGATGAGACTTTATTTCAAATGCTTTGGGCTTATTACAAGGAGCGGCCAGTCTCTGGAAAAGGACATTATGCTTAGAAAAGTAGAGTGTCAGCAAAAGAGAGGAAGACCCTCAACAAGGTGGATTGGCCAGTGACTGTCATAGCAGAGCTGACTCAATGGCACCTAACAGCTAGTTGCTGTTATCAAGGTTTAGCCAGAGCAACCTTCTTCATAGTTGAATCAGGCAGAACAGGGAATATCTGCCGTTTTAGCATGGTCAGGTGTACAATTACATTTACCATGTTGTGCAACCATCAGCATTTCTTCCTCTCTTTTTGAATAGCTTTATTGAGATGTAATTCATATACTGTACAGTTACCTCATTTGAAGGTAAAATAGTACAGCCTGTCAATACTCTCTCATTCTCTGACACTTTCATTACCCCGGAAGGAAACTCTGCATCTATCTTCCACTCTGCCTTAGGAAACCACTAATTTATTTTCTTACCTCTAGATTTTCCAATTCTGGATATTTCAATGTTGTTGTGTGTCTTTGAGTTGGAATCCACACATTGCTGACTCTTCAGCAGTTTTTCAGAGGCAGTAAACTGCACAGGAGGAAATAACCCATCCATCTCTCACCGAGCAGCTGGTGAATTCAAACTGTGTGCCTTTGGGGTTGCAGCTCAGCTTCTTATCACGAGGCAACCAGAGCTCCCTTTCAATATGTGAACTTTTGTTACTAGTTTCTTTCAGTTAGCATATGTTTTCAAGGTTCACCCACGTTGTAGCGTGTACAGTAGTTCTTACCCTCTTATGAATGAATACTATTTCGCTATATGGATACATACAACATTTTTCTTCTCTGGTGGTTCAAATCCCCCAGTGGGTGCAGCGGAGAAAGGTGGGCAGTCTCCTCCTGTGTGATGTGTTGTTGTTGTGTACTGTGAAGTTGGAACCAACTCACAGCTGGCCCTTCAGCAGGTTTTCAGAGGCAGTCAATCTCACAGAAGGTGATTGCCCATTTTTCTCCCCCGGAGCAGCTGGTGGACTCAAACTGCATACTATATGCCTTTGGTTTGGCAGCACAACGTCTTACCACTGAGCCACCAGAGCTCGCTCCTGTGTGATGTATAGAACCCAGTGGAGGGTCAGCCGTGAGTCAGATCTGACTTGAGAGAAGGAGAGAGAAAGTTGTCTGTTACGTGTAATGCGGCTGTGAACATTCATGGACATGTTTTAATGTAAATTTGTGTGTTATTTTTTTTTCTTCAGTTTTCATGGTTAAATATCTAGGCGTGGAATTACTGAGTCAAATGGTATCTCTGTTTTTAAAAATTATCACAGCACTTCACTATCCCTTAGCAGTGTTTGGGGTTCTCCTTTCTCCATATCCTCACCAACACTTGTTATTGTCTGGGTGTTTGCTTGTTTCCATCCTAATGGGTGGAAGTGGTATCTCATTGTGGTTTTGATTTGCATTTCCCCAAGTCTGCTGTCAGGAACCCCTCCAGAGTACTGAAGAGCAATGGTGTCAGTCTGGAGACTAAGGTGTGCCTGATCCAGGCCATGGTCTTCACAGTTACTTGCTATGTGTCAGAAAGCTGGACAATGACTAAGGATGATAGAAGGAGAATTGATGCCTTTGAGCTGTGGTGCTGGAGAGGATTCTTGAATATAACATGGACTTCTAGGAGAATAAACATTTTCATCCTAGAGAGGGTGAAAGCAGGCTGCTCGATGGAGTCAAGGATTCTGAAGCTTTGTCTGACATACTTTGGACATGTTGTAAGGAGAGGCAGGTCCTTGGAGAGGGACATCATGGTTGGGAGGGTGGAGGGACAGTGCAAGAGAAGAAGACCCTCATTGAGGTGGATTGACTCAGGGACTGGGGTGATAAGGGTAGATGTGTCAGAGACAGTATGGTTGGCGCGGGGTAGAGCAGGGTTCAGAGCTGTTGAACATAGTGTCACTATGAGTCACAAGCAACTCAATGACACAAAACAACAACAATGACTATCAGATGGCAAAGCATTTTTTTAACGTGCTTATTTGTCAGTTGTATGTCTTCTTTTGAAAAAGATACTGTTTCACCATTGACCAGTGTCTAATTGGGTTATTTATGAGAATTCTTTTTAGTTTCTGCATCCAGGTCCCTTTGTACATACATAATTTAGAATTTTTTTCCCCCCATTTCATGGGTTGTCTCTTCAGTTTCTTGGTAGTATCAAAACCATCTACTTTTTATACAATCCAGTTTCTCTATTTTCCTTTGATTACTTGTGGCTTAAGGGACCTCTCAGTTCCCAACACCAGATTGCCAATTGAAAGGTCGGCAATTTGAATCCACTGTCCACTTGGCCACACGAAGATGTGGTGTCTGTTCCCTTAGACGCACAGCCCTGAACACACCATGGGGCAGTTCCGCTCTGTCCTGTAAGGTCTCAATATGTTGGAGGCCACACAGGGACAATGACTTCGGTTTCACTTGTGTTTTAGGGGCCGTGTCCTGAGAAGCCTCTGCCTAACCCAGGGTCCCACAGGTCTACACCTTTGTCTTCTGAGAGTTTTGTAGTTTCAGTTACTATGTTTAGGTCTGCCATCCATTTTTAGTTCATTGTTGTGTATACTGTGATATAATGGTCCAGTTTAATTAGTTTCTGTTCTGTTTTGTGTGTTGTTGTTTTTTTAACCAGAATAGATTTGTTTATTCTTTTTCTTTAAATTTTATTTTATTAATTTTAATGAACATTTATAGAGATTTTGAATTTCCATTCATTCATTGTTGAATTTTTCTCCCTGCCAACTTCTGTTCTGTTTTTAAGGTAACAAGAATGTGGTAACCAGAGAGCACTTGGACCGTATGAAGAATAGCTGTATCGTCTGTAACATGGGACATTCCAACACAGAGATTGATGTGGTAAGACCAAGTAATTCATTATTGAAGGATCTTTCTCTCTGTCTCTCTTTTCTTCCAAAGAAAACATAACTTGGAAGAGGAAAGAACAGTCACTAGACACCCTAAATATGGCTGCCCTGGCAGAGGTGTCCACAGCTGCCCTCACTGCCCTGTGCCCTGTGCTTGTGGAGACTGTGATGTTTCTTCCTCTCACTGACACTTCAGATAGTTATTTTCTTCTACCCACACCTGATACTTCCTTCACTGTAAGCTCTTTTATCTTGCCCAGGTATGTTTAGGTTGAGAGCTAGATAATCTCAGAACCAGCAAAAGGATTCAGTGAATATGACTTGTTATGGTGGTCAGTACCTTGGGAATGGTTTACTTTATCATACAAATGAGATAAATACGGTGGGTCAAGGACAGTCAAGGGAGACACATCTGAGGGCTAGCGTGAGAGGATGGCTTAACGTTGCCTGTGTCTACCAGATGCTGCAGCTGTTGCTTACTCTGCTCCTGTCAGACCAGGTATCCTTTTAGTTCTCCAGACTGGAGCAACTGGGTGTCCCAGTCAGTGCAGCGCCCTTGTGTAACAGCATTAGGTCTCGAAACATGTGAGACCTGGGGCTTTGCTTCTCTGGGCGGGTTCAGTCACACGGAAACTTTCTAATCTAATATAGCACTCAATTCCCAAAGTTGCCCAATCAATAGTTAATAAACACATTTCTTTCCGACTTAACAAAGTAGTTCTCATTCTGGCTCTCACTGTGGTCTTTAAGTTTGGGTGGGATTTTTCAGCACCACTGTGTTTCTCTGTGGGTGACAGGTCTGAGCCGACCATGCTGTCATCCCCCTGAGCTCTCTGAATGAGCGTCAGCATGGCCAGGTATTTAGCAACTGATCTCTCGAGAGCCTGTTGGATAATATCTGTTTTAAACAGATTCTCTTCTCGACTCTGCTCTATTCTTCCATTATTAAAAATAGCTAGAAAAATAACCTACTCAAGCCTATTTCTGGCCTTGAGATTTCTGGGTAGCATAGCTCCATTGTTCTGTCTAACCATGAGATTTTGTTTTCAGGGAATAATTTCGTTGCTCTTCTTTTTTTTACGTTTCTCTTACATGTCATACTGCTAAGTGGTCAAAGATATTAAGGCTTCTAAAACGGTCTCCAGTATGTGATTGTCTTTTTCCTTGATTAATCTGCTTGGAGAGGCTCCAAATGGGAAAAGCCTAGAGGAAAGTGGTCACGTGAGGCCCTGCCCTGCCATAAGGGAGGGTGGGGGAGGAGTTTTTCCTCTGAGCTGTTCACAAGCTCTGAGATAAAATAAAAATGACTCAGAATACAGTCTTGGAGCTCATGTATTTTCAGGTATAAAAATTTCATCCTTCCCCCCCCAAATAATAGTTTTTATTTGTAATTATTAAAAGTCTGAATTTTAAACAGAATCTTGAACTGGTGATTCATAGCCATCAGCTCGTTCGACTTTAGCACCTGTCTCCTTTCCAGTAGCCCAGTTCAAACTTAGGCTTCTTCAGCATTTTTACTTTTCTAACAGATGCATCATGGAGAGGATAAATAGACTGGCAAGCCTTTTTTTTGCGTCTTCCCCAAGCCTGTCTGGAATCAATTTATTGAACACCTCTTTCAAGTCATTTGTCTGCACCTCTTGGGTCATGATTTCCATCATTTTCTTCTGGATTTGGCAGACCTATTGGTGCTGAGTATAAGAGGTCTTCCAAATCTGACTGTTGCTTTCTGTGTGTGTGTGTGTAAAACCAACACAAAACAGACAAAGCAAATAACCATCAGTAGTCTTGACATCCACATGAACTTCAATCATGGTCTGCCACTTTTTGACCATGAGACCATGGAGCACATTTTGTCTCGAGTAAGATCCATGCCATGGAAGTTGGTGAGGCAGTTATTACCTTGAACTTCCTTGGTAATTAACTTGAATATTCTAAATACATTCTCATTGTTTTGCAAATCAGCTAGGCTCACTTCAAAAATATAACCTTTGAGTCCATCAGATGCAATTTTGGTTCCTTGAGTCCTTGTGACTAGTGTCCTCCCAGGATTTCTTATATTGAACATAGCTTTAACTACCCAGTAAGTGTTTATTCTAATTCCATGATAGAGAGATGGGCATTCCCCGTCCATGCAGTTTACAACCTCTGACAACCCACCGCAGGGAGGAGGGGTCAGCTATGATTGATTCCAACTTATAGGCAATGAGAGAGAATTTTCAAAGAGGAGCCGAAGAAGTGTATTTTTCATTTATGTACATTGGTTTGGAAGGATCATTAGAGCACAAAACCTGGAAGGTTTTTAAACTCCAGTCCAGTTTCCTCCCTTTCCCCCTAACATTGTACTGTTATCTTCCTCGTGATTTCTAGACTACCTTGAACTAGCAAAATGGCTTTCTCCTTCCAAGGCAGCCAAACATAAATATTCTTGGAGAGGGTGGAGGAGACAGGAAGCTCTTCTTATACTCACAGGTATTCACAGCCTGATTGTGGTATTGGAGCTGGGGGTGGGAGAAGCCAGGAAGCTCTTTACCTGAACTCACAGGTATTCACAGCGTGATTAGTGTTCCAGGTGCTGATCTTGGAGTCCTCACAGTCAGTGATCAAAACAGACAAAGGTTCCTGCTCTCAAAGAACTTACATTTGCGTGAGAAGAATATAACATGATAAATTTTGACAAGGATTTTTAGATTGTTCTAAAACATATTTGTCAGGTTGTTTTTTTTAGATTAGGCATCAAAAAAAGTACCACAGGGAAATGTAGAGTATGATCAGAGCTATCAGGGTGCAGAGTTGTGATTTTAGGAGATGAAAATAGACATCATTAAGAAGGTGACCTTTGAGCACGTTAAAGGAGTTTGGGCTCTGAAGGCGTAGTCCAGAGGGAGTTAATCCCAAGGTGACACCTCCCTGGTAGTTTGAATCTACCCGCTGCTCTCTGAGAGGAAGATGGGCAGTCTCCTCTTATGTAGTTTACAGCCTCCCAAAACCTCCTGGAGGGTCAGCTCTGACTCAGTTCCCACTTGATGGCAGTGAGTTGCATTGAGTTTAATTTATGTGCCATCGAGTCAGAACTGACTAATAGCTGACCCTCCAGTGCATTTACAGAGGCAGTAAATCACACGGGAGGACATTGCCCACCTTTCTGCCACAGAGCAACTGGTAGATTCGAACCACATGCCTTTGGGTTCTCAGCACAGCTCTTTACCACTAGATGACTAGAACTCCCCTTGAAAGAGTTAGCCATGTGGATTTTTCAGTTATGAACATTTCAAGAAGAGAGAGTACAAATACCTTGTCATGTAAGATTCGTCTTTTTGAGAAACAAGGTGACCATTATGGTTGGAACAGAATGAGCGTGGAGTGTTTTAAGAGGTTGATTTTATTTTAAAAGGTCCACCCTGTTTGTTGTGTTAAGAATACATCTAGTACTTACCTAGTACTACAGGTACTGACAGACTTCCATGGTATTGTCTGCTAGCAAGATCCATAAGCTCATTGTCCTCTTAGCAGAAATTTAAAAAACTTGTAGCGATCCATTCCTACTGACTCAGAAGTGACCCTCTGTTAGGTTTCTGAGGCTGTAAATTGGAAGGGAGGAGATTCCCATCCCACTCCCTCAAAGCTACCGCAAAGCTGTTGGTGGATTTGAACTGCCAGAGAGGTGTGTCCTTTGGGTTAGTACAACAGCTCCCTGAAAGTGTAAACCCTGCAGACTGTACATAACTCAGCAGAGAGTGTGTAACTAGACGGAATGATCCAGAAAGGGAAACAGCAGAAGTACTTTTTACATGTTAAATAACTCAGAATGAAGTGAGATCCTACCTCACTAATTTTGACAAATGTAACACAAAGAGCATGAGCAACAGAAGGGAAAAAAAATAAAGAAATTGGACTTTGTCAAAGTTAGACACATACGTTTCAAAGGAGTTTATCAAGAAAGTGAATAGACGACCTACAGAATTGGAAAAAATATTGAGGAACCATATATTTGGTAGAATTTTATTATTCAGCATGAAAAGAAAACTTATTTAAAAAAGAAAAATATGGGAGAGCTCTGGTGGCCTAGTGGCAAGAAGCTGCACTGCAATCCCAGAAGTGAGCAGTTAGAATCCATCAGATGCTGCTGGAGAAGGAGGGACAATCTCCTCCTGTACTGGTCAAATCCAAGTTGATGGTACATACACAAAAAATAATATTTTTTTTTAAAAAAGAAAGGTTTATACCCAGAGAGATTCATACTGGTATGGTTATTAGAGGAAGGGGAGAAAAAGGAAAATATGGGCAGAGAACATGAAAAAACATTTCTCCAAAGAAGATATGTTAATGGCCAGAAAGCTCAGGAAAAAATAATCAACATTGTTAATTACTGCATAAACCCATTGCTATAGGGTCGACTTCCAACTCATAGTGGTCCTATAGTGCAGAGTAGAACTGCCTCAGGGGTTTCTAAGACTTTAGTCTTTGGGGGAGCACACTCACTGCCACATTGTTTCTTGAGGAGCGGCTAGTGGATTTGAACTGCTATCCTTTCACTTAGTAGCCCCATGCTTAACTGTGCTACCAGGGCTCTCAGTCGTTAGAAAATTTGAATAAAAACCAAAATGAGGTACCACTTAACACATACTAGATAACTATTATTAGAAAAGAAGAAAATAATGTTAATGAAAATATGGAGAAATTGGAACCCACATTCATTGCTATTGGTGACATAAAATGATGCAGCTGCTGTGAGAAAGCTTGATAGTTCTCGAAAGAGTTAACCATAGGATTACCATATTGCCATCAGTTCCACTCCGGGGTATATAATCTAAAGATTTAAAAACAAAAACTCAAGTGGGTACTTGAACTTGTGTGCCAGTGTTCATTGCAACTTTAATCACAAGAGCCAAATCGTAGGTCAATCTCAAGCTTCCATCAGTACACATAAGTGGATGTCTGAAATAAGGTACATCCACACAGTTGAGTAAGTCAGACACGTATATGATCCCA